GAGAGGAAGGTTTTAATCCTTCAAATATAAATTAAGTTCCTGGTCCTGAGCAAGCATCCTTGTGTAGGTAAGTGTTAATAGGTAAGGCAGAAAAATTTGAATCCCGTGCTCTGGAAACAGAATATATATCTGAATAGCTCCATTGACTTCAGTGTGTTGCTGGCGTGTAGGATTATACAAATACCTAAGACTTTGCAGGTTCATGGCTTGATGAACATTTATTATTACACTGACATGGACCCCGCATTCAGAAGTCGCCCTATTAAACAGAACCTCCTGGCAACAATTGCTTGTTTAACGCATTTTTGTGTGTGCAGATCTGAATCATGTCTTTGTGACTGAGATTACGTATTTTGTAATCAAAAGAGATTTTTTAGTGAATTTTGTTTTTTCTCTTGTACCCTTGGCGCTTCAGGGGAGTGAGCCAAGTCACAGGGTTCAAAACATTGCTGCTCCCTAGGAAGGGCTCTCTGCTCCAGATGCAGTGAGGAGGCTGCCTGCCAGAGAAGGGAGCTGTGGCAGTGAGATGAGTACAGGTGAGCACACGTTTGCAGTGTGCAGCCATCATTCTCCACTTCCAGAGAAAGCTAGAGAAAACCAGCTGAACACTCATTTTAGAAGTCAGTCATTTTTAGAAGACAAAGAATAAGATTTTCTATCTAATTTTGGGGTCTCTATTATGTTTTTTAGAGTAGTTAGGTTTGGCAATACTACTTTTTATCCCCCAGACTTTCAGGGTATGTGTGTTCTTGTCTGAAGGCTTTGGCTGATACCTGGCACTCTTCAGTTAAGGTCAAGGCAAACCCACAAAGGTGCCAGATGAATAAGAAAATATTTTTCTCTCTAAGGTTCCATAGCTGCAGTCATTTGTGTTCCTCATAACTATACTGAAAGTAATATCGGATGGAGTTTGGGAGCTCAAATGGGTTTTGTTAAATTACTGGGCTTCCAGTCATTTGTCCGGTGTCTTCACAAGTCCTGCACATGTGATGGTGGGAAAAGGGCTGCTGGGTCTTTATTTAATGGCTCGATGTAGATATCCAGTGGTGAGAATTCCACCGTCTCCTAGTGTTAATTTGCCTAACTACTCTCAAGGTAGTTATTTCTTTGCTGCAAAGTGAGTGACGCATATAAGCCGGGTAAGGAGGGAAGTGGGCATTTTACACTTTGGAAGACTATTTCCATTTTCCCTCAGCCTTATCTTTTCCAGAGGAAGCAAGGCTACAGAAACTGATTTTTCCCTTACAAGTCATGTTCTCTATGCCTCTAATCCCTCTAGTTATTTTTGTTTTCTAGCCTCCTTTGCAGGAGAAGGAATTATGAGGGGAAAACCAATGTGCCATATATACACTTTTCTGGGGTTCCAGCTGAGACCTTGCTAAAGCTGACCCTCCTGGGGGGCATTCTATGAAAAGCAAATGGTTTGGTCTGGTTTATGCCCCTCTCTGTCCCATCACCCCCACCCAGCTGCTGTATTTCTCCTTTCTAGCCTCTTGAATATCTTGCATCCTCCACAAGTTCCCCATAATACGGTGGAACCTCATTAACCAGCATATTTTTGGACATTATTACCTTTCTCTCTAGTGAAGTGTGACACTTCTTCAGTAGAGTAATTCCTGTGCGGGTATATGCTTTCTCAGATACATTACTGGTTGGCTTTCATGCAAATTCTGTATTGGAATTTGAGGCTGGTTTTAGACTCCTCTGGAGTCACCAGTGCTGGTACTGAGCACAGATTCTGTCTCTTTTGCCAGCTTAAAATGTTACTTACCCAGAATTAGTTATCTGTGTATTTCTGAAAGGCTCGATAGGAATGGTAACTGTAATGAAATTCATAGAGGCAGTGACACTGAGGTGTCCTCATGGTATCTCGTGAGAGCAATGACATTTGGGTATTCAAGTGAGGTGGTGCAGCTGTGTTGCTGTTCATACCTCGCAGCCTTTTCAGGCCCCAGTATTACACAAACATCTTATTTAGGCACTCTCCAACCTTACATAAGTAGCTATAAATCATGTGAGCAGTCCCAGTTAAGACAAAGGGCATAGTATTTGCAGGGTGGGTCTTTAGATTGATTTTAATCAGTTATTTCTTGGAGTAGATTTCTGTGACCCGTATCTTCTCTGGCTTAGTGGTAGTTACAAAGCTTTAGATTACTGAAAGTTGAAATTAACTTCCCTATTTTTCAGTTTCCTTTATTTTATTTTTTTTTAATTTTCATGGAAAATAACTTACTAATTCCTACTTTAATTCAGTGTTAATATTTTTCTGATGTTTGCATTCTATCTTAAATTCAGCAAAACAAAGGTATAGAGTGTGAGATACTTTATGATAGAACAAAATCTGCATATAATAAAAGGACAGCAGAAATTATATTTGTATGGTCATCTCTAAAGTGGATTAAATACTGATAAATAGAGGCAAGATTGCAAAAGTATTTATGGAAGTAAAAAAAATCAGTTGTCCTCAAGCAAATTAAACTCAAATAAATTTAATTATTTTGTTAGTGGGATTTTGCTATGAGATGAAGGCTGCTACAGAGAGTTTATTTTGCCGTCATAAGCTACAAAGATATTTGGAAATACTTTGAGATAACATCCTCTGGATTTAAATAAGTAATCAAGTTTAGGTTTTTACTTACTAGAAGGAAGAGAATACTGATTTAAGATAAAGAATGTACTGTGTCAGAGCAAACATATTGGCAGCCATATCTGCAGTATGGATGAATGCAACTTTGATTTTCGTTCTCCGCTTCAGAAGATGCCATGCAATCCCATCAGGGTTTTAGGGGACTTGAGCTGCCATCCATTGTCATGGCACACACCAGCACCATTGGCCAGCCTGTCTGCCATGCTCACTGTGGTCTGTCTCCTTCCTCACAACACTTTCTGTATAGTAATTATATGATCATATTTGAAATAATATACTGAATCTCAAGAATTACTTTATATCAGTTTGCTGTTAACCTACAGACAGGGTATTTTAAGCTAGACCTCAACAATTCATTAGTAAGCAATCAATGCAGTTCCTCCTAAACTGTGGGAATTGTATCTGACAAGAAGATCTCAAATAAATAAATACAAACTTGTAAGAAACACCCCTTTTTCACAGCCTTTCTAGCCAAATGATGTCTCTGGGGAAGTGCAGCAATTTATTGTAGGGAA